TATTTGTACCTTACTTAGTACCAACATTGTACCTTATTGGTTCTACCCCATTAGAAAGTCTTCAGTTACATGATTATGTTTGTTGGCTACTTCTGATTGGTTGAACTTAAGTTCTGTTTTTCCTTCATATAGAAATTTATAAGAGTAGCTCAAGTTTCCCTTATATCTGTAGATTACTTATGATGCCTAACTGTTTTTGTCTGCTCAGAAATTCTTCAGGCCTGGCCCCCATTTTAATTTACTTTGATGATGGTTACTTTAAATTTGTATTAAACACTGGATTCATATGTACTGAGTGAAAAAATGAAAATAGATGTTATAAAATTTGTTTGAAATCTTTCAGCCAGGATGTTTTAAATGGCATAAATTAGCGGAATTACCAAAAACAAAATTTGAAAAGACCTTGAAGCAATTTTAAAGCGTTACAAAATGTTAAGAAAACTAGTAGGGCAAATACTTACAAATACTTAACAGTTGAGTTTGACATATGAGGAAGGACTTTTTGCTCCTCAGCCCAGCTATGTCTGCATTCTGAAGAAGTAGGCACATGGGCATTCAAAGAGTGAGTGGAGTAGAATTTATGTAGAATTATGTACGGGAGGAGGTTCTCCGGCAGAACCCTTCCCTTACGGTCTGCCTAAAGTAAGTCGGCTAACTCCTTTCATTCCTCCCTTCAGGAGTGGAGGGAGGAGGGAGACCCCAACTGCTACTGGGAAATGTGTACAACAACTGCTCTTAACTGCTTCCTGCTGACAGGGGGTGCTGTTTTGGGAAAGTGGCAGTTAAGCCTCCTCCTGAGGTCAGTTTAAGGATCCCCAAAACAAAGGCATGTTCATTCTTGATTCTGTTTGCATCACCATTTGAAATTGAATGGCCTCTAAGTGAGAAGAAACAACTCACGTTATTAGAAGACATATTCAAAATGAAACAAAGAAATAAAGACAGAAAAAAAAAGTGTCATGGCTGCCAATACAACCAGATAACTTATGGCTATGGTTTTGCCTGCTAAGATTTGCATTCATGGGGCTTGGTTTGGTTAGCTCCCTTGGTCTTATTTTCCCAAACAAAAGAACCCCTGGGTTATGGGAACCTATTTACTCCTATCATCTGGCAGGATTTGCAGGATAATTGTTCAGGATTAAAATATTGATCCAGATTTTTTACATTACTCATTTCTTTGGCTCTTTTGAGCTCCAGTCAGACATTGCTGGTTGGTTTACAGAAAAAAGCATAGTATTCTAAAATGTAGGCAAAAACTTAAAAACAACTAATGAGATTATAATTTAATAACCAATGTATAACAAGTTTTGAAACATAGTTTCTCTCTCTCCAGTCCTCATTTTTGTTAAAAGCAAATCATGATAGGACTCAGTTGTTTGCAAAATAAACTTTAATCTTATACTTGGGTTATTTACATAACATACGGCAAGAATAATTATTTTTCTCATAGGATTTTAAATTGGCTTTGATGGAACTCTGTTCCACAAGGAATTTCAGATTAGACCTTTTAAGATCAAGCCCAGCCATGGATTTGTACCCTTAAATACCTATGAGTTTGATAAAGTCCTCTCTTACTGTCCCAAGAACAGTATTTAAACAGGCTCCTGGGCCTGTTAAAAAGTGACATGCTTTACTCACCACAGGTTAGGAGCCTTGTAGAGGGACTGTGTTGACAAGATATGAAGTTAATTTTCCCAAGGGACTTTTATTGGCTCAGCAAGTCAAGCTTGATTACTTAAAGAAAAGTATGCCCTTTCAGTCAAAGCCTTGGTAAAAACACCAGTTTCTTCAACTCTGTCCTGCTGCAAAAGAAAATGAATTCTTATGGCACTTATGCAAATAACTATATTGCTATAAATTAAAAATTCTCACAAATAGTTTTCAAATTCTGGGAAAGCAGCACAGAGAGAAACAAACATCCTTCAAATTTTGTGCACAGGCATACACATAACTCAATTATTAAAGTCTGTAAATAGCTTAAAATACATATTCTTGACTCAGAAAAAAACAAAACAAGTGATCAGCAAAGCTTTAAGCAAAAAGGTTAAAAACAGTACTTCAGTTTTCTATTACTTTAATTTATCTTGTTCTGCTTGATATTCATGAACATTTCAGTTCTTCATGAGTCCTGTATGTTTTTTCTTTTTCTCAATGTCGTAATCTTCAAAGTCATCAGAATCTTGAATTTGAGAGCACCTGTCAAAGTCCTATAGCTGAATATAAGTCATCTTTTGAATAGGATCAAAACAAGACATTAGTCTGTGAGTGATAAAATGTCCAGGGTAGTTACTATCAAGAACACAGCCGAGAAAAAATTTAGTTATTTCTGGAGTTTAGAATAACTTAACATAAAAACCTTAATTGTGATTCATAGCATATACTCAGACATTAGAATTTTAGAAATCTCAAAATTTTGAAACATACATTAATATTATTCACTAAAATATAACCTAAGCATATTAAACATCATTTTGGAAATCCCATGTAACTAAACACTTCAAGTAACTCTGTTACTTCTCTTTTGGATGCTCCAGGGACCCTCTGGGACAGGAAAGACAATTTTGAAACTGAAGTTTGATTTTGGGAAGCCTGTTAAATATGGTAGAGGTTCAAAGTACTTGATATTATAAAATAGAATTCCAGGTTACAATAAGTCATTTATTTTAGCCAAAATGATGATTCAAAATTTTTAAAAGAAGGCAAAAATATATGTGCAGTAAGAGGAAAAACTTAGCTTTCCAATATGTCATTAATTTTACATGAGAAAAAAAAATAAAGAAAATCCTGTTAAATAGAAAGCTAAATTTCACCCTTGCGTTAGTCTATTATTGATGTCAACCCCAATTTTTTAAAATGATACCTTATAATTTTATCTAATCTTATCCAGTTTGACCTTGAAGTGAGATTTCTTTTAAACCTTTTATAACCCTTCACAAATTTGTGTTAAATAGTATATCAGTGCCTTTAGAAAACCTTGTCATGGTTTTATTTTAATGCTCAATTTACAAAAAAAAATACTATTTTGAAGTTAGTATGTTCACATGCAGTTTCTTTTGCAAGATTAATATTTACAAACCTTTCACCATTTGTTTAAACCTTCAGCTTTATCCTATCTAATTTAAAACAATCCTTTAACCCAAGGTAAAAATTTACATTTCTATGCATTCTTATAATCTTTTGCTAAAAACATATCTTTTTTAACATATCTTACATGTAAATCTATTTTCATAGTCTGGGTTATATGTTATTATGGTAACACTTAGCAATTTTTAACTTTAATATAAAAGCTAGTAAGTTATTTTAATTATGTACAAGGTGCAGATAAAGTCTGGCTCCTTCCTTCATAGTTAAGGGTGTGGTTAATTCCATATGTCCTCAGGCCTTACCAATTGTGAAGCAGGCAAATCCAATAGTGTATTAGTCTGTTTTCATGCTGCCAATAAAGACAATCCCTAGACTGAGCAATTTAGAAAAGAAAGAGGTTTAATTGGACTTACAGTTCCACATGGCTTTGGAGACCTCACAATCTGGGTGGAAGGCAAGGGGGTGCAAACCACATCTTAAGTGGATGCTGGCAGACAAAAAAGAGAACTTGTGTGGAGAGACTCCCACTTTTAAAGCCATCAGGCCTCATGAGACCCATGACTATCACAAGAACAGTATAAAAAGACACACTCATGATTCAATCTTCTCCCACTGGGTCTCTCCCACAACACATGGGAATTATGGGTGCTACAAGATGAGATTTGAGTGGGGACACAGAGCCAAACCATATCAAGTAGTTCTTACAAGCCAAAGAATAAGTTAATAACCTACATGATTCAGGCCACACATTTACATATTAAAGAAATTTATATTTTACCAATTATCTTTAAAACTGCCTTTATTTATTAAAGATTACTCATGTAAACTTAAAGACATTACAGCTTTTATTTTTCTTCAAAAAATATTTAATCTAAGTGTTTATTTTCATACATACATATATATACAAACACACATTACCCCCATGACAAATATAAAATTACATGGATGAACAAATGAAAATTCAGTAATTGTAAGATTTTTCATTTGCCAATCTTCTGACTGGATTATTGGTCTCTGGGTGAAGCCCTTTAAGAGCAGGGCTAGGACAGCATACAGTTTCTAGGGCCTAATAAATAGGCATAGCTGGAAGAGAGAGGCAGATTTTGAGAGGGATCTATCTGCTTTTAATCCCTGGGGCTTCATGAGGAAAACAGAGGTTTTTTGTTTGTTTGTTTGTTTGTTTTCCCAAAATGGGGTCCATAGCACCTTCTCAGTTTTCCCCAGGAGTCCTAGGCTTTCAGAAGTTGTCTTAAATCCTCTCATGCATGCACCGAATGGCAAGAAGAAATGGAAAAGTCTATTTAACAGAGAAAAAAAACCTTTTTCCAGAAAAACAAAACCCGCAAAGAGGAAAACATAAAGGCCTTTGAAATATACCTATAACATGGATATCCACTTTTAATTCAGCTTCACACACTTTAAGAAAACCCTTTCAAATCTCTTATTACTCAACTTCAGCAATGCCGAGCAGCCAATATTTCTGGCTGTTGAACTTCATTAAAAATAACCTCACAGGTGAAACCAGCAAGCCTCAACTAAGGTTATGACTTAACTGTAAGTTTACAAGTTACTTTCCAAGAGGTGTTAAGCAGTTTGTACAAAATCTAGGCTCTTTAAAGGTGTTTCAGAGAAAGAAAGATTTACGAAGAAAAGCTAGATGTTGTTCACAGAGGGGAAGAAGATCAGCAAATGGTAAAAGTCACACAGATACTAACCAAAATGTACTCATTCCCTAAGCCAGGATTAAACCTAGGCCACCATTGTAAAATGACAGAGGCCAAAAGAAAGTACTATCACACGGTTACTAGGTCAAGCTCCCAAGGACATAAAACAAGATGGAGAACTGCAGCAAGGTTTGCTACTGATAGGTTTGCCAGGCTGGCTTGAACAGCAAACTTAGGGGGTCTTAGGTCCACATTCTATTCTAAGGTACCCTCCTTTATGACAGAACCATACAGAAAGACATGCAAAGCACTCTACATTGGCTACAGCTTAAGACTAGCCTCATAAATGTTTTTTCTCTTTCTCCCATTTATCAGAACTTCACAGAGAATATAAACAGTGATTTTATCATTCATTCAACTGGTTTGCACAGGGAGAGGGAGGCCAGAAGTCTGACTGGTAAGCACTTTTGCCCTTTTGCTGTCATACCAGGCTTATGAGTTGCCTTTTTTTCAAGCTCAGTTTTAAGCCAAGCAGTTTAAGGTTTGGGGAAATTAACTTTTCCTAGTTTAAGGGATGCATGGAGGGGAGTGTCCTGTGGTACAGAGACACAAACACCCACTCACAAAGAGAGGGCAGAGGAGGAAGAAGGAGAAAGGAGGTGTTTTTCTCAAAGGTGTCCTAGTAATTTAGGAGACATTCAAAAGAAATACAGGCTGCAGATGATTGGTTACCCACCTAAAAAGAGGGGATCAAGGCATCCCTAGTTTCCTTTCCTTCTTAGTAAATACATTAGGGAGAGAAGAAAAGTGTCCTCTTTCTTTCTTCAGTAGTTATATCCCCGAGTCCTGGTGACTTTGGTAGGGTATGACCCATGAGTGCCAATACAGCTTTCCCCCATGTTAACAGGGGCCTACGGGGTGCGGGTTATCCACCATTACCCATGAGCTGCTTGTTTCCCTATTGTCAATAAACTTTGAGTTCCCTAGACCTCATTTATGGCACGGATACTAGAATGATCTCTATTCATGAAATGGAAGGGGGCCTCATCAGCAGAAATCAGTCATGCTAACATAAAATGCTTTGGAGCTAGGTCTTCTTTAAACAAGGGAGAGAAAAGGATATCTTTTGAATTGGGGTCCTCGCCTAATAAGATGTCTTCCAAAAGGAAAAAGCATCTCTCTCATAAAAGTTAACTCCTTACAGAGTGGAGGAATAATAATAATAATAATAATAATAATAGAAACAGCGTAAGTGCAGGATGGGGAAGATGTCTGGGGGAGAAACCTTTTATTCTCATGTAAATGAGTTCCTCCAACAGGGAGAGAACATTTTAAATTCTGTCTCCTCCTTCCAGCGTCAGCCAGGGGAGGAAGGACACTGTAGGTACCTGGCGAGAGGGAATGGTGAGCAGGGAATGCTGGCCAGCCAGCCAGCTGTGTGGGGCCCTTGGGCTATGTGCCGAGCCAGGAGGGGAGAGAGATTAGGAGCCATCACTCACCCATTTGTCTTATACATGCACCTCTGGCCATTGGAGGTTGGGATAGGGGATGTGTCACTAAGAATGAACGGAAATCACATTATTCTGAATTGCATAGAATATATTAAGTTAAAGGAAAGCTCTCAGCAAAGATAGGAATTCTGAAAGTAGATTCCTGGTTGTCCCTTCACAGTTGAATATAAGAGCATTATTTTCTTATGAGCTGATGAGGCTGAGTAACCTATTTGTATAAGGCATGAATTCCTGGTGGCTCCATTGCATCCTTCCAGAGTGCATGCATATCCTTAGTCTGGGACATTCCATATTGATTTATGTCCCTTAGTGCTCATGTGTTAGGAAACAAAATTTTCCACCGCAGGCCCATTAAGGCAAGCCCCTTGAGCAAATACCCTTATCTGCACAAAACATCTGGTATAAACATTTGTGGTGCAGGTAGGAGGTTCTCTGGGGGACCCCTCCCTTACTGTCTGCCTAAAGCAAGCTGGCTAAATTTTTTTCAGAAATAGACAGAGAAAATGAAGTAGCTACCAAAGTATTCCAAGTCTATAAGTTATATTCAACAAGTATTCAAATGTCATTCTCGCCTAAAATAATTCATTATAAATCAACTAATATTAGGTAAATATTTTAAAAATTAAAAGCTTGCAGAAGGTAGGAACCTCCAGGAAAGGCAGAAATGAGACAAGTGGGAAAAAATTATGGTGACTTAGCACCTATATATTGTGATCTGCAGAATTGAGAGTTTAATTCGTCTGTATAAAGTAGATCATGATCCTGATAAGTTTAGCAATTAGAGCTTTCATAAAAAGTAAGAGCTACATAATTTGTTTCAAGGATGCACTTTTATTTTAATATCTAGACCTGAAATTACATTTTTCAAGATCATTCAGGGAGAAGAAACTATATGAGGAGATCTTTCTAGCCAGTATACTTAGTGTAAATATATCCAACGAATCCATAAGTCTGTTTCATTTATTATTTTCTGTATAGGTCTATAGCATGACACAAACAAGCCCTGATGGCTTCAGCTACCTTTTTAAGGAAGGTAGGCTTGTTCCATCCCCTATCTTGTGTTGTCCATCTGAAAGGGTATCATACTCTGTTTAAGTAAACTTTATTAATGTTTTTCAAAATATTTCTTCTCTTGCCAATATAAAATAATGAAATTGTGGTAAAACGAAGATTGTCTTCCTCAAGACAAGTAATTTTTCATGAAAATTTTAATTATTTTAATAATTATTCAATAATGATTTCAAATTATTTCAACAATTTATCTTATGAATATTTACTTCATTATTTATTCACACCACCAAATGATACTTTACATTGACCCCAAATTTTTTACATGGCTATTCACTGCCCATGGGCCAGGTAGAGCTCTTTGTTCCACCTTACTGCACTGACAAGTCAGGTAGGGCCCTTTGTCTCTGAATTTTCTGTGCTGGCTCTTGGTGGAGGGGGCTGTGTGACTCAGGGTTATAAAACAAGTAGCCAATCTGGTATTGGAGTCAAAGATCAAACAATTCAGAGGGAGTTTGAAGGAACTCCTCTCATTGGATGAGAACATGAATGGGGAGGGAATAACTCAAAGGTTAAAAACTACAGCTGCTCCCTCTTGGACAGTATGCTCTTTCCGGATCCCGAACCATGATAGCATGGGAGCTGTCCTTTCACTCTGCCTAATAAACTACACTTTGCCTACTCTTTGGGTCCATAAGTTTTATTTCAGCTGTGAACTCACCACACCTCTGCGGCCCCTTTTTCCATTCTTTGGGGTTAGAAGGCAAAGAACCTAAGTGCCAGCTGTAGTTTCCACTTCCCCGGTGGTCTGGTGGTGAGGAATTTGTGCTCTTACTCCTGTGGCCTGGTTTCAATTCCTGGTGTGGGAACCAAGGAATCTTGCTGAAGTTTTACTCCTCTGGTAACATTTTTTCCCAAAACAGTTTGAGTTTAAATTGCTTTTTCTTAATTTTCTCTCATAGAAAACATTATTTTTTATTGTTGTCATCAAGCTAATATTCTACATATTTAATTATTTGAAATTTGATTTGTATATGTTTCTCAGTGGAAGCTAACTTCTTCCTAATGCTTTTATTTATATTTCATATGTATTCATCCACTCACATATTCAACAACATTTGAGAATCTGTTTTTGGGCTTTTAATACTCATCTTTTTCATCTTCCTATTTATTTATTTTGAAACTGGTTCTCACTTAGTTACCCAGGCTAGAGTGTAGTGATGCCATCATAGCTCATGGCAGCCTCAAACTCTTGGGCTTCAGTTTATTAATTTTATTTCGAATGCCCACACAGTGTTCTCAGTCAGAAATTGATTTCTTAATACTGTGTGTTGGCTGCTCCTTTCCCTGGTTCTTATCTTTGGACAGCATAAAGAGATCCAGGTCAATCATCCTAGTGAGATGACAGACTCTCTAAAAGCCAGACATGAAGAAAAATGGTTTTTGTTTCCTTGTCTTTGTTTTTCTACTTATAATAAGATGAAAACAGCTGTTTTTCTGTCCTTCTAAAAAGACATCGTCTATATTCCAAACTTTTGGAATGTTGTAAAATCTCTCTAGGAGCCAAATAATCCTGTGTGTCAAAGTTTTTATTACCTATAGCTGTCTCCAAATTCTGAAACATCGTATCTTTTGACATATGACTACCAAAATCTAGTCTCCCTCTTACCCTAGGGCTTAACCTAGGAGCCTAATAATTTAAGGATTTAAAAAATTTGACCCTCTTAGTGAGGTAAAAGAAATTTTTCTATCCTTTCAAATCAGAGAAATTAACTAGACAAAGGGATACAGATCTAATTTTCTCAATGTGCGAAGAATCTCAAGAAGCTAGTGCTTTTGGCAGAATCCATGAAAATCCCACGGACCTTTAATATCTCCTCATTATTATTTGCATAGCATACTACCAGGGGAGATGGATAATTAAATAATAATATATTTTTAATAATTTTAAGTTCTCGTAAATCATATGTTTTTTCAAGGATTAAAAAAATTATCCTGGATGTCTATGGCTATACATAGACATATGTAATATTACATATATTTTATATGTAGTTACATTATATATATAATATAGTTATATATACATAAATTGTTACATATTATATATATATATATATAAAATAATACCTTTTGGAGAACAAATGGTTTTTGGTGACAGAGTGGTAAAGTCGAAGATTTTGGTGCACTTGTCACACAAGTAGTGTACATTGTACCCAATATGTAGTGTTGTATCCCTCGCCAACCTCCTCCTCTCCCAGTTTTTGTCCATTATACCACTCTGTATGCATACTCATGGCTTAGCTACCACTTGAAAGTGAGAACATATGGTATTTGGTTTTCCGTTCCTGAATTACTTCACTTAACAATAATTGCCTCCAGCTTCAGTCGGAGTTGCTGCAAATGACATTATTCCATTCTTTTTAGGGCTGAATAATATGTAATGCTGTATATTTACCACGTTTTTTTATCCACTCGTTGATTGATGGACACTTAGGTTGGTTCTATATCTTTGTAATTGTGAATTTTACTGCAAGAAACATACACATGCAGGTGTATTTTTGATACAATGACTTTTTTTCCTTTGAGTAGATAGTGGAATTGCTAGACTGAGTGGTAGATCTACTTTTAGTTCTCTCAAAAATTTCTTTACTCTTTTCCATAAAGGATGCACTAATTTACATTCCTACCAGCAATGTATAAGCATGCTCTTTTCACCACATCCATGCCAAAATCTATTGTTTATTTGAATTTTTAATAATGACCATTCTGGCTGGGAAAATATGGTATCTCATTGGGGTTTTAATTTGCATTTATCTGATGATTAGTGATGTTGAGCATGTTTTATATGTTTGTTGGTCATTTGTGTATGTTCTTTTGAAAAATGTCTATTTATTTCATTTTTTTCACTTTTTGATGTGATTGTTTTTTCTTGCTGATT